GTTTGGATAAATGGTTAGAAAAATGGATCTTGGAATTGGTTTATGGATATGGTTAGGAAATGGATTATGAAATGAATATTTGATATGGATTTGAATACAGGAAAATTGTTTTAGTAGGAACATGGTTATGGAAAAAATGGATAAGGATTTTGAAATATGGAAAATGGATAATGAAGAATGTAAAATTAGTAATGGATATCTAGATATTGGTTTTGGTTTGGATATGAAAGGTGGATAATGATTGATGAACTTGAATGAACTCTCCGCCAATATTTTCCATTGATGTACACCTTGACTGGATTTAATCCAAAAACCAAACTGGAACCTTTTCCACAGATATCCGATAAAAATGAATGAAGCTACTCTTGGACCATTGAATAACTTGCACGAAAATAACTACCGTTTGAATCAATCTTAAACCTTTCCGTAATAACTCCTGATATTTTGAAATTGTATGAATCGATCTTCGAGAAAATAAATCCACAGATGTACATAATTTAAACCGATGGGCCATGATGAACCTGATTTTAACTCAAACTTCTCATAAATCAATGCTTGATAACAGTTGAAGCGAACTCTTGATGGTTTGGCCAAGATTAGGTCAAACTTCCATTTAATCTTGATCATGACTGAATAACCACACTTGACTTAAAACTAAAACTCCTTCCTTTGAGTGCACACTGATCCTCTTGAAAAATCATGAAGAAGATGACCTTGATATCTGATGAGCCTTGGTAAAGAGGATAATCATGATGTTGGGAAATCAGCCTTTATCTCAACTCGAGTTCAACAGCCATATAAATCACATATGAATAGAGAAAACTCAAATCACAGGAAAATGCTTTGGTCCAGTCTTTAAGAGCTTAATGCAAATGAATGAATGGAAGGATATGCCCTAATGGAAAATGCAATTGAACGTGAAACACAAGCCAATTATGGTTAGAAATAAGAGGGCAAATTTTGGGGTGCAACATCATGATCAAAGAAGACAAAGATACTTTTGATTCCCCAAGTTTGATCGCTTGATGATAAATCATCGTGTCCATTCTAGAGAACCACAACTTTGTGCCTGAAAGTCAGGTTGACCTAAAAATAAGCGTAACTACGTGATCAACTCATGAAGATCGTGCTTTTTCTCTGCACTTGATGCTTGCTAGCATCTAGAAAGATCTATTTGTCCAAGTTCAAAGTACTGATCATGCCCTAATCTGTAGGGTTCTTGAAAAAAAATACTCCTTGAATGAAAGCTCTGAATAGGGTAGTGGTCTGCCCCTGATTAACCAATTCTCAAAATGGTCTGATCCTTGAAAGCTAAGATTTGACGTGCTCTTGAGATAACTTTCCCTTGATTGAGCTCTTGAAGTATTTACCCCTAATTCATAGGGTTTTGAGGTAGTCTTAATTCAGGTTAGCACCACTAAAAGTTCAAGTTCCTCTTCGATTGCCCTTTGTTGAAGTTTCTTTGATGTCAAACACTAATTTGCAATTAAAATTGCTCATTCACAAATGGTAATTTTAATGCAATGCTCATGCAAGTTTTGAAAAATAATCGTATATTGGAATATTTTGATAATGTGTGACGAATGGACCATTAGTCCATATGTAGTGCCGTTTTAGCTAGTGGGTGAAAGATATAGCAAGAAGAATGACACCAGCGCTGAAGATTAGAAAATTTGTAGGGAGTCAGTTTACACAACCTTGTAATAGTATGTTTTTAGAATAAACCCTGCCTCAATTAGGTCTTTGAGGGTTGTAACGTGGTCTGGTTCACAGTTTATGAAACAAATGATATAAGGCTTAAAATTTGATTTATACCCACCCTTTCTTCGTGATGATCTCCAGTCCTACGTTCAGTTAATTCTACACACGTTTGTCTTCCAAAAGGGTTGATGGTGTAAGGGTGAAAATTCAAGATTTGCTCGAAATGGCAGTCACCTTATTTTGTTTTTGATGTCAGTGACCCTTTGATTTTGACATGGTGGTCATTGGACTTTGCTTTATTTTTGCTTTTTGTCGAGGATTTGAAGACCTCTTTTGATTTTTTCTTTTTGATCCCTAACTTTTGCATGTATTGATTTCGCTTTTCAAGTACATTGGGATAGCCTTGATTTTTGCACAAGTCTTCTTTTGAGGTGTTCAGCTTAGCAGGCTTTTGATATATTTTTAAAATATTTTGTTGATGATTGTGACTGCCAAGTCATGGATTATTGAAGAACAACTGTCATGTCTTTTGGATTTTTCTTTGTGATTTGAGTGTGTAGTCGGGTTAACTGAACACTATCTATGCCCCAGGTTAAGTGTAAGGGTTTTTAAGTCCGAAGGAAACTCCTTATTCTAGGCTCTAAGTGGTTAACTAGGGATTAACGCCTTGTCTCTCCAGTGTTTAGGGATTGAAACAATGCATGTACATCATCGACATGATTTTGTTTGAAAGCATACAATTTGCAATTATGAGAATTTTATTTTCGTCATCCTCCCTCCAATATTTGCTAAAACAACAATTTGATAAAGAGAATGAAGTGGAGAAGTATGTGTCTGTGCTTTGCAGTAGATGGAAAAATGAATGAATACAACATAACTAATTCAGAACATGCATAATCATTATATTAATAAAACCTAATACGAATGACAATATTTAAAGCAAACAATACTTAAACAAATAAGAACAAAATACAAGAATGCAACTGATGGGATGGTAGGATGACTGTCTTCTTTGAGGAAAATGATCTTCCTTCTTGACTTGATGCTTGAACTAATTTGGCGGCGACATATGGTTGGTCGTGACATTTGGAGCCCTTGGAGTGAATGTGAGATCCTTTGACTTAATCAGATCTTGAACCTTGCGCTTAAAAGCTTTGCAGTTCTTAATCATGTGCCCTGGGGCGCCCTTATGATACTCGCAGTGAGCATTAACATCATAGTATGAGGGGATAACAGTTGGAGGAGCTAGGCCCTTTGGGGTAATTGCCCCATCCTTCAACAGGAAGGAAAAGACCTAAGCATATGACATATGCAGATGATCAAATCTTCTTTCTGGCCTCCTCGTCCTTTGTTGATTAGGTTGACTCTGTTGTGGAGCGTGTTGAGGTAGAGCTCGTTGCTGAGGAGTGTGTTGAGGAGGTATCTGAGTAGGAATCTGATCTGGAACAGCTTGCTGATAAGGCATTAGAGCATATTGCGCAGTATCAACATACAAATACTGGAAGTAAGGAATTTGAGTAGGCATAAGAGCAAGAGCTTTTTGTTGAGTTCGTCCTCTCTGAGCAGAGATAACATTTGTTATGCCATCCTTTTTCTTGTATCAATTGAAAGACCTCTTGATTCCAGTATGGCTGTTAGATCCTCCTTGGATCTTTCCGCTATTTAGATCCTATTCAATTCTCTCACCGACGATTACCATGTCAGAGAATCCAGAAGATACATTGTTGATAAGTTTTTCGTAGTATTAGCTTTGCAGGGTGCCCATGAAGATGTCAATCAATTCATGGTCAACAAGTGACGAATGCACTCTTGCGGCTAACTCTCTTCAGCGTTGTGCGTACTCCTTAAAGGATTCACCGTTCTTTTGAGTCATACTCTAAAGTTGAGTACGATTCAGAACAAGGTCGCTGTTGTATTTATATTGCTTGACAAAGGCTTCAACCAACTAACCCCAAGTACGCACACTGATACACTTTAGTTGCATGTGCCATTCGAGAGATGCTTCAGACAAGCTGTCTTGGAAGCAATGCATCATGAGCTTTTCATCTCTGGCATAGGCTGCCATCTTGTGACAATGCATCTTCAAATGAATGTTAGGACAACTGAGACCCTTGTACTTGGGAAATTCTGGCACCTTGGACTTCAGAAATTCTGACACTTTTAATCTTTAATACTAAAACCGTCGCTAAAGCTGTTATTAATTAAGTTAATTAAACATTAAGTAATAAGCCGTCGATAAAACCGTCCCTAATTCTATCGTTAAGTTGTAAAAATCGTCGCTAAATTGCAAGAGTGATCAAAAATTTTAGAAGGACTATTCTTTGAAATTAAATATTTTGAGTGATTAAAAACGAAATTTAAAATATTTAAGAGGATCGCAAACATATTTAATCATAAATTATTTTATTAAAAATTGATCTTTAATAATATTTTCATAAATTATAACAAATCCAAATAAATTTAAAAAAATCCAAACATTATAAAAAAATTCAAATAAGTATTAGAAATCAATTTATTCAAATATTAATACAATATATAAAAAAACAAAAATCATTTATCATTCTCATCTCCTTCTTAATCTTCTTCCTCTTGAAAGATTTCCAAAAAATAACCTCTCAAATCTTAATATTTCTTTCATTTTTTTGTCTTCTCACCATAACCACTCTCCTCCAATCCACACAATTTCAACCATTTCATGCAATAAATATGTTGGACGTAACACCCCCTTCTCCATATAATTAACTATAAAATTTTTAAATAGGTTGAAATGACCAAATCTCCTCATTATTTTATCCACATTGGTATTCTAATAGCATTTTCATTGATTTAATATGATGTGAATCAAATAGCTAGACTGATAAACTTTAGTGTTAATAATGAGTTACTTATTTTTCTAGTAACATGCAATATGCATATACTTCATTTAGATCCAAAAATTTTAAAATTTAATTTTAAATTAATTTACTATTTATATTTAATTTTTTATTCCATGAAATTTTAGAATTTATAAAAATAATTCAACAAAATTTATGAATGAAATTTTTTATAATTTTATCCAAACAATTTATTTTTTTATAACCGAGAAGAATTCAATTGAAATATTTAAATTTATGTTAAACTGTAATCTTCATAAACATTCATTACCTCGTTTTATTTCGCCGTTTCCGCTTTTCCCGCCATTTTCCGTCTCTATAACATTATCAAAAAAACTCGAATGAAAATAATCCAAAAAAAAAAAAACCTTAAAAAACTCGAACGAAAACCCAAAACCCAGAAACGAAAACCTACGAACATAGCAAATGGGCATCAAAGATCTTCTCAGATTCATGAAACCTTACGTTGAACCCATTCACATCAAGAACTACGCTGGCAAACGCGTAAGAATCATCTCCATTCCATCCAAAGTTTCCGTTTTTCCTCAAAATTATATCCGGGTTGTGTTCAATTTTTCATTCTCGTACCTCATTCTCATTCACATTGCAAAATATGCAGGTGGGTATTGATGCATATTCATGGCTTCATAAAGGAGGTGAGTAAAAATCTGATCTTGATTCAGTTTTGAAATTCACTCGTTATATTAATTTTTTGATTTTTTTTTTTGTTTTAGCTTATTCATGTAGTATGGAACTTTGTCTTGATTCTGATAGTGAAAGGAAATTGCGTTACATTGAATACTTTATGCATAGAGTGAATCTGCTTCGGCACTATAAAGTAACACCAGTTGTTGTTTTTGATGGTGGCAATGTTCCTTGCAAGTCAGCAACTGAGAAAGAGAGGAACAAGTATTTATTTTATTTCTGTTTTTAACTTTTCATTTTAAGTTTTAGGATATGAATTAATTTTTTGATTTGTTTTTTTGTGCTGATTTGGTTGTTTTAGAAAAAGAAATGCTTATCGTGATTTGGCAATGGCCAAGCTCAAAGAAGGGAATGTTAATGCTGCTTCTGAGCTTTTTCAGGTTAGGAGCATTTTCAAATTTAAAATTACCTATTAAGCATGGAGACATGAATCACGACAGATACTGACATGTTCACATCGGTAATAATTTGAAAAAACAAATAAACTAAACATAATCAAAAGTATTAGTGTCGGTTTCAGGCATTGACATTGACCAAAACACACATTTTTTAAGAGGTGTCGGTGCTATAGTGTAAATTATTGATTATTTTGAAAATAACTTATGAACATGTCTTAAGCTCTCAGGAACAATCACACGAGTGCTTATATGGGTAGATAAAAAGACAAGTTTATTGTATCTTTTATTTCACATGATAATGCTTATGAAGCTAAACAATTGAAGTATTTTTCATACTTTTGTGTGTAGAGAGCAGTGAATATTACTCCCCTTATGGCATATAAGCTTATTCAGGTATGCTTTAAATATATAATTTTGATAAATACTAATGCTACTTTTGAATCATTCTAGAGTAATTTCTTCTTGTAATTGTGTTGTAGACTTTGAAATCAGCCAACATTGAGTTTGTTGTAGCTCCATATGAAGCTGATGCTCAGTTAGCATACCTGTCCAACCTTGAGACCGAAAAGGGCGGTATTGCAGCTGTGATTACAGAAGATAGTGATCTGATAGCTTATGGTTGTCCAGATGTAAGAACTTCTCCAAAACTTTAATCTCGTGTGTTGAGAAGTTGTGTTTAAGATTTTAACCTGCAGTTGTTTGAACAGGTTATTTTTAAGATGGACCGTGAAGGGAACGGTGAAAGAATAGAGTTAGAGAAGGTTTTTTCTGCCGAATCTTGTAAACCTTCATTTCGGAGTTTTGATATGAAGCTTTTCACAGGTGATTTTCTCGTTGTGTGTTGAATGTATCAGTCATGTAGAACTTTTTTGCACAAAACTTGTTCGCGGTATACTGATGAAAATGTTTTTTTTCTTGTTTTTCTAGGTATGTGTGTTTTAGCTGGCTGTGATTTTCTTCCATCTGTTCCTGGCATTGGTGTTGCTCGAGCCCATGCCTTAGTTTCAAAGTATCAGAATATCGATCGTGTAAGTATGTTCGTATCCGCCAATAACCACTATTCTTGATTACTTGTGAAAGTGAATTCCTATTACTTGATTCTAAAATTTATATTAGTACTCGCTTTTTATAACAAGCGCATGCACACTACACAATCATCATGCCTATTACCGCGTAGATTCTTGAAGTTCAAACTGATATAGTTTGTGGCTGATGTTGCCTCGAAGTCATTCTGACAAATATATCATTTTTTTTACAGGTATTGTCTGTTCTTAAGTTTGAGAAAGGTGATCAAATGCCTGAAGATTATGCCAAATCCTTCAGAGACGCACTTGCCGTATTTCAACATGCTCGAATGTACAAACTTAAACTATTTCTGATTTATAACATCCGAGTATTCATTATTCTCTTCAATGATTATGTTTCCTTCTGAACTATTTGTGCAGATATGATATCGATACTAAAGAGCTCAAGCACCTGAAGCCTCTTCCAGAAAATTTTCTCGAGTCACTTGACGAAAACCTTGATTTTTTGGGACCGTATCCTTGATTTATCATATTTTGTATCCATTATAAGCTGTTCTTATAAGCTATATTGGAGAGCTTATAGAAATAAGCTGAAAACAGCTTATGGACATGTTACAACCTGTTTCTGTAAGCTCTCCTAAACAGTCTCATAGATGTTTGTCGGTAGATAAGTTCGAATAACTCAATCCAACTCGGGCTTATTTGTGATCGATTTTAATCTGCAGAATTGTTGAACATGTAATTACTTTTTTTTCCTTGACAAACTTCAAATGTAACTAGAGAGCTTCCCTCAACTATAGTCAAAGCAATAGCCGAAGGAAACTTGAATCCGTCAACTAAGAAAGCCTTTGATAAGTCTGAAATTTCTAGACTTCCTTTACACCCTATAGATCCCCAAACCATTGGTCAACTCAGGAAACGAGAAGTTTCGACACCGATTAAGCAGGAAAACTGTTTTTCAGTCTTTGGCTCCCAAAAGATCAATCATGCTATTACAAGGCTCTCAGATAAAGAAACATATTCAAATGAAGCATTGGCACTTCAGAAACTAATCATGCCATTAGGAACAAAAGAAACAATGAAAAAAACCATTACATGCGATAAAACTCCTTTTAAGGTTCCTAACAACAATCCTTTTAGGATAAGAAAACACAAGGAGGAGGAAACTGTTGAAGAAATTTCTATTGTAAGCAGTGTTGAATTTATTGACCTTGACGATTGCGTGTCACCGAGTAACTCTCAAGGGTCTAAGAATGAAGAAATTTCTGTTGTCAGCAGTGTGGAATATATCAATCTTGATAATTACATGTCACCGCACGAAAAAATGTCAACAAATTTCTCAAGGAAAAGGAAATTCGAGAATATTTGCTTAGATAAAGTAGAAGCGAAAGATGAACAGGTTTCGGGAGTAACCGAAGTGGAATGCTTGAATGTGGAGTCTCAAAAAAGTGTTAAGTCCAAGATTAGGAAGAGTGATGATTTGAAAGGAAGTGAAAAGAAATCCAAGAAAAAGGGAAGTAACATTAGAACTATTCTGAATTTCTTTTCAAGAGTGTAATCATTCAATATGCACATGAATTTTGTTGTAACCTCTTTAGAATGCTCTTACAAATATTTATTCTTGAATGAAAATCAATTTTGAATCTAAACTCATGAAGCTTTATTGAAAAGATCATTTTATTCCAAGACTTGCACTGATCAAGTTGCATGATTGTTGCAATTGATGAAAAAAAACAACAAAAACATTACTCACTACCATAGCTAGAAACTTAGTAAACATGATTATAACCCAGCTCAGCGTATGAATAGGAACACGACGAGTTTGATACACCTACTTCTTTTTGGTTAGTAGTTTCTTGAACCAATATGCTGACAACTTAGGGGTTCTCTTGAGAGTTTTGAAGTCGACGTAGACAATACCGAACCTTGACGTGTACCCTAATCTCCATTCGAAGTTATCAAGTAATGACCATGCATGGTATCCAACAACATTTGCTCCATCATCAATAGCTTTCTTTAGTTGAGTCAAATACCCTTTGTAATAATTTATTCTTGTTGTGTCATGCAAACCTTTAGCAAATGTCACATTACCTGGATCATCCATGCCTACAATCCATAGTATCCAAATTCAAACTCTAATTAAAACAATTATTGATAAGATTTTATTTACCTTCCGACTGAACTCCAAAATATCAGGAGCAAAAGGGTTAAGAAAAAAAAAAAGACGAATGCATTCAAACAAAGCCAAAAACTAGTCCTAGGAGTTACCATTTTCTGATAAGATCACTGTCGGGTTTCCGTAACGTTCCTTGATGTAATTCAATGATTTGTACAAGCCCCATGGTACATTGTACAACCAATATGAATATGCCTGCAAATTCAAGTTTCACTTATAAAAACTAATTTCAAGATAAATTCATTGTTAACTTTCACTTGTTTCAAACTTACCCTTGGTCCAACAGGTACTCCATTCTTAGCATCTTCAATGTTAAGCAAGAAAATCAATGTAAGTAATAGCAATTAACAAGAAAAGCATTTGAATAAACCATCAATTTAATTTCTAAACTATCATTCTTCTACAAATTTCGACGTAAAATATATAAATATACTAAGTAGTTCTGAAAGTGTATAAAACGTATCAATTTAATCATTGCTATTAAGATTCATTGAATAATCAATGTATGTGAACTATTATATAGACCAAATACATTAATTATTCAATGAATTAAAAAAGTAAATTTTCTCTTATAAATAAGATCAGAGAGAATATACTTTAAGAACTAAATGAGTGAAAGTTTGAAGGAAGAATTATCTTACAAGCAAATCCTACATTCCAATCATTTTGATAGCCAGGAACTTTTGGTTTTGATTGATGAGGATCATACATGTAGTAAGTAGTATATTGATTGATCCCAACAAAATCAATTGATCCCTTCACAATTTTCACTTCTTCTTGAGTGAACTTTGGGAGCCTCTCCCCAACAATATTTTGCATGGTTTTTGGATACTCGCCATAAACAATGGGATGAATGAACCTGCGGAGATTAAAGACCTCAAATACAGACTCGAAAGATATATAAGAGAGGTGATTCATATATTTGATGATGATTCTAATGTTAATATGTTATTTTTCCTAAAACTCACTTCCGAATAAGTGATATCAGAGTCTTAAACTAATCATATTGTATTGAATTGATCAGAACCGAACCATTTCTTGCCTTAGTTATTGAATTCAATTTGTACTAAACAAAATATTTGAACATTCTAAAGAATTTTACCATCCAATATGAAAGTCTCTAGCTCTTTGAGCAGCATAGTTATCAGCTTTTGATCTTGTAAGAGGCTCATACCAAACAAAATCCAACAGAATTCCAATCCTACCCTTTTGCTTTTCCTGAAACAACCACAATCATCACAACCACATATGAACAATAAACCAAATTGAATAAAAATACTCAAAAATACTAAAAAAATACTTGGTAGCTTTCTCGGTATCTTTGAACAGCAGCAGCATGCGACAAAATCAAGTTATGAGCAGCAATGTAAGGCTCAGTTCCTGAATTTCCAGCAGTACAATTTCCATATTCTTTAGAGCACCTTCCAGGGGCAAAAAAGCCATTGTCATAACCAAGAGCCGCGACGACTCTCGGTTCATTAAAAGTCATCCAGTTCTTAACTCTATCTCCAAATGTCTTAAAACAAAATTCTGCATAATCCGCAAAATCTTTCCTGTACAATTTTTGAAACATTCATCATTCATCAAATCCTTGTAGAGATTCCTCAACTCGTGATAGCGATAAGGGTATTCTAGTACTTACACAACATTATGGCTCAATAAGCCATTGTATCTCAACTCAAGAGCTAAAGGAAGATCATAATGGTACAGATTTGCATATGGAGTAATTCCTGCAACATTGTTTAAGGAACAAAAAAAATCAATTAACTTCAACATTAAATTTCTAAAACTATATATGTATGCATTATTTTTTTAAAATAAATATTTATGTTGCATAAAAAAAATTACCTTTTTCTAGCAAGTAATCAATTAATCTGTTGTAGTATGCAACACCTTTCCAATTTACTTCACCAGTTCCATCTGCATGTTTAATAGATTATTAATGGAATTAATTATGAATTTGCTTCATATTTTTTTGATTAATATATGCAAATTTGAATTACTTGGAAAAATTCTGGACCATGAGATTGAAAACCGGTAAGCATCAAAATTCAGCTTTGCCATCAGATCAATATCTTCCTGTGAAATCAAACATGCTTGTTAGATTTTTTATTTTATTTTAAATTTTTATAAAATATTTAAACGGTGTAGTAAATTTTTTTATACCAAGGTTAATTAATTTTAAATTTGCAATATTTAAAGTTGAAAAGGCACTTACTTTGTAGCGATGATACTGATCAACAGAAACTTCTCCTGTGCCATTATTTGCCACAATTCCTGAAATTATAATTATATATGTTATAAATTGTTTTTATAAATTATTTTGGAGAAATTATAAAATTGAGTTTAAAATTATTTTATAAAAAATATCATAAATTATTTTGATAAAATCTTTTAAATTGCATTATAAAATTTATAATAATAAATAATTTAAATAAATCAATTCAAATATACCTTTAATTCCAGATATCTTAAAAGAAAACATATAAATTAATTGAAAAGGTTGATTGTAATATTTAATTTGTTGGTTATTAGTTCACAATTTTACCATTCTAAAGAAAAAAATTAATTAGTATTTCTAAGAATATTTATTAGATATTGTAGAAAACATTAATATTATTAATAATATTTTGGTAAAATAAATAAATAAGTTAAAAATTTAAAACGATCTAATAAAAAAAGACAAAAAATTCAAATAATCTTGTATTTTAAATTTAAAGATGAAGACCAATCACTATTGTCATGAATGTGATAGTTAAAAATGGTTACTTTTTTTGACCAACAGTCACACCAAACAAAAATCTGACCAACATTTTTTCATAAGAGATTGATACTATTTATATATATATATATATATATATATATATATATATATATATATATATATATATATATATATATATATATATATATATATATATATATATATATATATATATATATATATATATATATATATATATATATATATATATATATATATATATATATATATATATATATATATATATATATTATTTACAATTAAAATATAATTATCTTAATTTAAGACGCAACCGTTATAACAGTAATTTTTTCAGCAAGAGAACAAAAAATATAAACATTAAAATAATTAATTTTATATATTGGTTGTCGGCAATTATTATATTACTGACACTTTTATTTTTTGGGAAAAATACTAACACTCCTCATAAAATTATAATTTCAATAACACAATTTATAGAGTAAGATTCAAGACTTTTAAAAAGGATAAAATTCATAACACAATTTTTGGATGAATTAAGAATAATGCACTGAGATTAGGTAAGAAACACAAACCTGGTTTTTTGATGAAAACATCCCAAATACTAGGGCCACGACCATCTTTGTTGGCCATACCCTCAACTTGATAAGCTGAAGTTGCAACTCCAAACACAAATCCTTTAGGAAACACATCTCTACTTAATCCTCCATTATCAGGCACTGTAATTCCATCGACTGAACTAGCAACAACTAAGAAAGAGAAGAAGAACATGAAACAGAACCAATCATGATGTTGTGAATCCAACATCATTATCTTCTTCAAACAACAACAACACTAGTGAAAGTGAAGTGAAGCAATGACACTTTGTGGAGATAATGTTATCATGTGAGTGAGGTTGGTTTTATAGAACTTGTTTGTGGTCAATTCCAATTTTGCCCATAATAATACCAATTTGGAAATGAATTTAAAATGCCGTTTTGACTGTATTATGATTATGGGACCCATGCGTGTAAGTGAGTTGTAGTCACTATTGATTGAAAAAAGAAAGGCATATTGGAGTCCTTTAAATTATTTAATATAAATTGATTTGTTTTAAGTTATCTAACATTTATACCGTTGTCCTTTTTATTTATTTAAATTCTGTTTTAAAAATGCATATTTGACAACAGTGCCGATATGAAATTAAACAATCAAAATTGTGTCTCTCAAATGAAATTTACGTGTAACTTTTGAAGAGAGAAAAAAAGTTAATTCCATTATTTTCTTTCTTCATTAAAATTATGAATTTTTTCACCATTGAAGCTTGAGAGCTCCTCATCAATTTCAGTGTATTTCCTATGACAATATTTATGATTGTGGATACTTGAAAATGTTTGATATATTTGCAGAAAAAGAAGCAAAAGACGATTGCATCTGCATTAGGAAAGGTAACCATGTCCGCGAGCCGCATCAGCGATAACTTTAACACGGCCCTGGTACAAGTAACCACCACAATCAAAGGCCATTTTTGTGATTCCTTTCTCTAGACAAAATTTTGCAATGATCTCACCCACCATTTATGCTACTTCCTGAAAGCATGAAACCTGACAATTTAAATGAACGAAGGATCATCATTAACAAAACAAAAATATAAAAATGT